TGTTGGACTAAGACCTCCACTACTTCTAGAACCCATGCATTTACAAGTAGATGACATTAACAAGTTTTTTTTGACAACCTGGAACTTTCACTCCCATTGATCATTTACTTGGGAGCAAGATACCTCATTTTGGCTTTGTACCTCATTCCCCTGGTTCTCATCTCGATGCTCCTAGTTCTAAGATAAGTTTCATTCTTGGAGTTGTCGAGTAGCAAGTAACAATAGGATTTTTCAATTCTATTGAACCAATTCCCCCACAATCTTTTCTAGCTACTCCACCTTGAAGTCTCCTTTCTGGTGGGGCTAGGTTTCACTGATCAGCTGGGTGTGACCCAGGTCATTCATTAGCACGTGTTTGGTCTCTAGTTGGATCCTTTGACCTTGTGATGGCCATTGATTATGGATAACAGATGGAAAATTTATTGTTTCCCACAAATGGCGCTAACTGATGATGCCATAAATTGCTCACCGAACGCCAGGCACGCAATTGATCGGAATTGTAGTTTGACCAACCAAAGGATGCACTTGCAAAGGCAAATCGAAGACCGAATGGACTCTAGTGATCAACCCTCTAATGTTAAAGTCATAAAAGAATTTGGGAAGGAGAGTATTCAACTGTGATTAGAAGTGTGTCCCTGGATCATCTCTAGGTTTCTCTTTTTATAGTTATTTGATTAGGCTATTGGAGGATCCTTACCTTTGATTTGAATTAAGGTAATATCAATGGTGTAGTGGAGGTGGACTTTTTACTGGAGTAGGAGTCTCAGCTAAATTAAATTAGTCAAGGTCGTGAGGAGATAGGACTCTACTGGGCTAGGAATGTGCGAACTAGAAGGCTGGCGAGCTAGAGCTCCTCCAACTTACCGAGCTCTCTGAGGTGGTGCCCAAATACCCGTTATTTGCATGTATTTGAGGTTTATTCTATGTGGGTAAGTCTAATATGGTCCAGTTCTAGCGACGTTGTCCAATATCAAAATATATATATATATAGCACAAAATTGATGTGAGCAATCTTATTATACTGTTGGGTTGGCAGAAAAAAACCGCAAGAGACTAGTGCTAAAAAAAGAAGCCTTATGCTCATCTTCATTTTTTTCTGTTGTCTTGGAGCTTTCAAAGGGAATCTAAACCCAAGTAGTTGAATGAAGCCATAAACTCATCTTTAGTTGTTTTTATTTTTTTGGAGCTGTCAAAGGGAATCTAAGGGTTGAACAAAGCCATAAACTCATCTTCATTTGTTTTTTTTTGTTTGGAGCTTTCAAAGGGAATCTAAACCCTAGTAGTTAGGCCAACACATTAGTGCTTGGGTAGGAAAGTACCTTGTTGCCTTTGGAGGCTTACAGGAAAAAAAGTCTTTGGGAAATTTGTCGATCCTTTAATAAAATTGATAATACAAAACATAAAGAACATTGAACTTGATGGTACTTGAAATTAAGTGGACCGAGTTGCAAAACAGACTTGGGTGAAGTCCAACGAGTGTGTGGGTGTCTAGGTGAATGTGAGTGTGGAGGTGTATGCTATATGTATTCTACAAGAGAAAGACAAAAAACATGAATGGTTCAACTTAGCCAAAAGACTAAGGTTACAACTATTGTGACAGAGACTCTTACTCTTTGGGGATTATGTTGCTTGGGGAAGATTGTTATTATAGGGTGTTTGGCTTAAAGCCTTTACAAGACATTGCTTAGGTTTTACTTGATGGCTTACAAAATGACTCTCTCGTGCGCTATAGCCCCGTTGGCTATTTATACAACTAGTAGTTAGGGTTTTATGTTTGTCCTTTTTTGTGTGATTTTGTGGTCCCTTTATGTTTGTCTTTGATTCGTCTCCACTACCTGTGACTTGTTCATTTGAGCTGTCAGGTAATGTCCTCTGTCCACGCGTCACGCTACAACTTTTGCAGATTGGACCTGTGCCGAGCTCTTGAGCTCCAAGCATGTTATCGTGTCAAGCTTGTTACTCTAAGTTTCCCTACAACCTGTCTGCAGCCCAAGTCGTGCTCAAGAGAGTTCGTCTGGACGAGCTGCTTGGGCCACTTCCTATAAGCTCAAAGGGTCTTGAGCTCTAAAGGAGTCCAAACTTAAACCAATGATTATCAGAACTAAAGCGAATGCAAAATAGAAATTGTTCAAAGCTAGTATTTAATATTATCCCCCAAGGAGCTATGGTGTTTACAGACTTCGTGAATGTATGTCACCCAAGATACAATAATCGACTTACACATAGAAGCAGCATTGAAATCTATGCTGGCATAAGAAAACTGGTGTTTGTACTTTCTCTAATGTAATGGAGTCCTGAAAAACGAATTCCAACAGTATTTTGTTCTATACTTCCCATACAGTGCCAAAGCAAGTATTCTACCAAATGAAAAGTGATTAACAGTCGCAACCTAATTCAACAGCTTAGTCGGCCTAGTATTGTTGAATAATGCACAGACATTATCTGCCTCAGAAACAGCAATTGCCCAGATACGAGTTTCAGGCGACACCAAAAAACTGGGCTTCATAAAACATACAACTGCATCATAAATCAGTAATCAAACTTCAAGCAGGTCCTTTCTTCTACTCTGAACAGCCGAGCAATTCACCATTATGAATTTTCAGGTCTACTCATGAAAAGATATGCAGTACATACTGCCGGCAATATCCAAGTTCAAACTTCTAAGATCAATGTCGGCTTTGTTCCAAGAAATTAAAAAATCTGTATACAAAAGCACCGGTTTAGTCCAACTTCTACCAGCCATGAGTACATTGCCCATGTCTCCTATTTTATTTTATGTTCCTTTTGTCAAATTAGCATAGATGCATCCAGTCAATCTAACCTCAGATTTATTGTCATCATGTAAATATTACCAGGTGTGAGACATGAGATTGATGCCTTCAAAATGCAACTTTTCCAAGTGCATGTACGTGAACACTGAGCAGCAAATCAACCGGCTCTTAAGTGATGCATGCATCATCCTTCTATAACGACAACATATGTTTATGAAGAAGGATGAGTTCAAAGTTTCTGGAGAATCATCCTTCTATCTATAAAGACAACATATGTTTATGAAGAAGGATGAGTTCAAAGTTTCTGGAGAACAATGATGGAAAAAAAATTGCCCAAATATTTTACCTTGCAACGGTATCAAGAAAGAAATTCTACATGTTATTTAACTAGTGTCATTTTCCTTCTTCATTGGATCAGAGCTCACAATGGGAAGATTCCTTCTGTACTGAGGAGATGTCAACCTCCTCTCTAATGGTGTTTTCCTCTTGCTCACCACAAACCTGTTCACTCCCTTCCGCATTGGCATTATTGAGGGGAAGTCTTCGTCAGGTATCTGGCTCAGCTCAGAAATGTCCTTGATCTGGGCAACACGTCGAAACCACCTTTCTGCCTTGGCCTCTTCTGACATGTCCAAAGGATTGGATTCCTTCACCGCTGAACCTTCCAAGCTCTTCCCCGTCCAGCCACTTCTAACATTCTGATTTTCAGGTGAGGTCGGTGAATTTCCTGCAAAAGTCATGGTCTGAGATGTATTATCCTTCCAGAGTGTGCACTACTCCAACTGTCCTTATTACTAGTTTGGGAACTGAAAGAGCTTTGCGTCAAATTTCCAACAACTGGTGCCCCATAGTCCCCACAAGGTTTTGAATTCCAATTCCCTGAGCTGGTCTGTTGGTTTTCTGGTCTTTGCGTTTGACTCAAATTAGATGCTCCAGGTCTAGCATCATCTGACTTTTCAGGGAACTTCTCCGGAGTGGTAGAAATGGAAGAAGTTTCACCCGTAGGTTTTATGATTGAATCTTTGCCCTCTGGCTGCAGTTTGTTCTTATTTGCAAAGTAGTCAGGTGGGAACGGAACGAATGGGACAAACTTAGGATTGCTTGCCTGCTCCATAGACACACGTGTTTTGTACATCGGAGAAGTTAAAGACTGATCCTTCTTCCTGCTAACTACAAACCGGTTTTCTCCTTTACGCATTGGCATAACCTTCGGGAAATTCTCATCTGCAATAGCACTTGATAGGTCTGTGACATCATGCAGCGCTGCTACCCTCTTAAACCATCTTTCAGACTTTTCAGCATGTTCTTTTTCGTTATCATTGTTCTCAGCTTGAGCTGCTGTTTTTTCCACAGAACTGAGAACTCTCTCCAAGTTTTCCAGACTCACCACTCACAGAAACAGGATCTGTTTGCTCAATGACCTTTGAAGACACAGATTTGCAGCCTTCTGTTTCACTATCCACAATATTTGCAATTTGAGGTTTTTTGGCAAACATATCAGCAGGTAATGGCACGAATGGAACATAACTTGAATTGGTCGCCCTGGGGTGTGCATACTGTGAAGAATCTGACCTAGAAAGTGGAGTGGAGTTCTCTGTTCTAGCATTTTGTCCAGCTGTGATGCTTTTATTATCTGTTCTGGACATGGTGGACGTGCGACCAAGTATCCGGTCCAAACTCTGGCTGATTGAAGTATCAAGGTTCTCATTTGCACCCCCAGTTTGAGAATTACTACGTTCCCTAGTCCCATCATTATTTAAGTTCCTTTGATATTGAGAATTAGCCATCCTTCTCTCCAAGGGTGTCTTCCTTGTGCTTACAACAAATCTGTTTTCTCCTTTCCTCAATGGCATGATCTCAGGAAAATCTGCATCAGCCGCCACACTGCTCAAATCAGAGGCTTTATCCATTTGAGAAACCGTACTCAACCACCTCTGTGCCTTCTCTTCATTCTCAGCCAACCTGCTATCAACATTAGCCTTATTTGTGTAGTTCTCATTAGAATATCCCAGCTCTGGTCTGGATTTGAAATTATCGAATGAAGCCTCACCAGGTCGTTTGCAATCACATCTTAAGCAGACCAAGTTCCTTCCATAGTTAAAGAAATCACATCTGTGAAAAATATGATTCAGAATTCATCATTCTTAAGATAGATCAATACCTAAAGGTGTGCTAAGGAAGTAATGCTCACTGAGGACACTCCCACTCGCCTCCTGTCAGCTGTCTCTTCGGTCTAGACTCCTCACATTCAAGGCATTTAACATTTCTTGCAAAATTCATGAAACTGCACCTGCTCCATATCATAAAGATGCAAAATATAAAAGTTATGCCACATGAAAATAACGGAGTGCTGCTTGTCAAACACTGCTTTACAGTTAGTAAATCTAAGATCCCCCAACCACTAATTAGAAAGAAAAGGAAAAAGGAAAAAGTGAATCTATGATTAGATAGGTGTGCACATGCCACTCGTACACTGAATTTCTTAGTCCATGCAAAGATTGCTAATACAACTCAGCCCAATTATGTCTTGTTCAATATTTTTGGATCTGCAAATAATGTTTCGTTATTGTACAAAACGAAGGGTCATACTTTTTGTTAAACCATAAGTAATCACATCTTTTTCTACACTTTCATTTAAAGTTAATTTTGGGCTTCCTCTACCTCTTCGATTACTAACAGTAACTATCATATCACTCCTTACCTCCGATGCTGTAATATGCCATCTATAAATATGTCCAAGCCACCTAAATTGTTTCCCCTTTAATTTATTCCTATGTGTTACCTCAGATTTTTCACGGATATTCTCATTTTTAATTCTCTAATCTCTACCATTTCTACTTTGACCACACATCTATATTAACATTCTCATTTCTGCCGGACTAAATTTTTGAACATGTTGCTTCTTAATTGTCCAACACTTAAAACGTAGCTTGTCTTATTGTTGGTCAGACCCAAATATGAACATGAATCCAAAGAAAGGTTGATAAAACAATAGAATAAAAAAAAAATTTAAAAAGAGCAAATTCACCAATATAATAAATAATTCCCCACAAAAATAGAATTGGGGCCCAGCTGATATTAACGACATTCTGCTAACAAAGGAAAAGCACCGATCAGATGAGAAACATACTTTGGACATATCCAGTCACCTCTCTTCATTTCAATATTTTGTCCTAGAGGTCTTGATGTTTGTCCATATCCACCTGGTAATCGATATTGTTCTGGAGCAGGCAGGTGCGACGCTGAAACTCTTACTTCAGCCAATTCTCTCAATAGATTCCTAACAGATAGTTCTACAAGCTCTCTACTGTATAAATTGTTCCTTCCTGGGCATGCACTAGGATTGCTTGCATAGCTCAATAAATACTTCATAAGATCAATTGTACATGCTTTATCACGTTCCACAACCTAAAATTCAATACACATTTGGGGTTAGTAATGAAAAGAGAAAAAAATGAACAGATGAGAACAAAATGACATTCTGGAGGTAAACTACCAACAAAAACAATTTGCAAAATAAAATTTCCCTCCAATCATGAAGTTCAACTGCCACAGCAAAATTTTAATTTCTCGAAAATTTTGTTTAACTTGAAAAACATGGATTGCCACACTCTGAAACCCAGCCTACCAAATACCATCACCTCTCGAAAACTAAGGAACATATGCACAACAAATCAAGGATGTGCCTAGCTTATCTTTGTCTATTTTAAGTTTGATTTTAGCCCAACATTCTACTTCACATTTCAATTGCCTATATTCTATAACAAAATGAAATTATGTAGAATTTTACAAAATCCAACAAATCCCAAAGTAAAACAATAACAAAACTTCAAAATAAGCCTAGATATATTAAGGTTCATTTTAAGGGGAAAGGCAAGAATTATTGGTGTTGTGGGTTTATCTTAGAGGTATTTATTTTTTGTAAATATGTTAATTTTAGAGTTCAATCACTTATGCTAGATTATGTTTTGTAATTGGCTAACTTCATGGAATCCATTGTAAAATCTCAACCATTTACATGGTCATAATGCTATCCAGTTCAAATTTCAAAAGCAACATTGAAGGGAGGAAATCAAGCATCAAAGTTACATCATTCAACCTCCGTATGCACTTTCATACTTAAGAGCAAGGAAATAACCTAGACACCTAAGATAAACCCTTAGTTATTTTAAATTAGGATGATTACGATGAAAATGGAATTGGAAGCAATCCGATTATGACTCCTAGGTGATTTTCGAATAAAGTTTTATGTTTTGAAAACATAGTTTAAATCACAATTGGACCCCTCTTTGAGCAATACCCTTTAGTGCACAAGAGAACAAATTTTTACATGATTTTAGGCTTAAAAAACCTGTAAAGACCGTCCTATGCTAGCTAGCCTTCGTTAGAGCGGTCTCTTGATGACTAAAGATAGAAAGGGAAAAGGAAACTGGGTATCAGCATAGGGCTCGCTCTATGAGCTCACTCGAATGGTCTCCATGGTCGCTCGAACAATTCTGCTCCTTTTCACTCCAGTGTCAACCGCCCTATGATCGCTCTCCCACCGATTGAGCAGTCGTTTAAGAATATGAATTTTATTATTTACTAAGACTACTCTTATTCTAAACTCAAATAGGAAGAGTCTTTCCCATACATAGGTCAAACCTTTAGAGTAAATTTTGAAGAGAGAAATATATCTTTCAACCTTCAAAGCTTATGTCACAACCTAAATCCTTAAAATCCAAAGACTAACACTAATGATTCTTTTCATCCTCACAACTTGGAGTAGAAGAGCTTGTTGATAAACAAACTCATTGGTTTGTGCATACCGAAGATTGTTGGCATGCCTATAATCGCTCAAAGCTTAGACGAACTATGCGGCGGGGAGATCTCACATCAAAGAGGGAGTTTCAGTGGAGCGACATAGCAAGGAAAGGAACATCTAACTATGAGTATTGGTTAAGGTATAAGACTTGAATACTTGTATGTTGATTTGGCGCGTAATGGATTAGGTTTTGATGAACCCTGAGTGATTCCCCGCAGTTTTTTCTAAGGAAGATTTTGCACATCAACAAATTGCTAGTTTCTCTTACTGTTTATTGAACACACTTGCATTTGTTAGCACACACGAGCACTATGTGTTGGATATTTTGATTGTTATATTTCATATCATCCATAATTGTACAATTGGATTTGTGGGTCTATTGGGATCGCCGTAAGATTAACTTTAGTGAATTAATTGCAAATTAATTAAAATCAATCACCATGGTTCAAAGGGTTGGTGTTTGAAAAGAGGTCTCAAATTCATTACTTTATATTTGTTATAAGAGGTAACTGTGATAGATATAGGTTTTAATTAGTAATTGAATTTGGGCTAAAATTGCAAAACCTATTCACCCCCTCCCCTCTAGGTTAAGTGTTTTGCTCTCCACGTGTATAATCATGAGGAAAGATCTATATCAGATTCTCCCTCCCAAAACAACAATTGATATTAAAGCGTGGTTACCCTGAGGGCATAAGACAATAAGTAGGTATATCTTGTTTTTGCTTGTTTGCCTAGTTTACTTCTTAAGAGATCCATTATTATCATAAGTTAGTCTTAGAAGGAAAGAGGATCAATTACACGACCACCTCTCTTTGATGGTTCTAACTTTGCATATTGGAAAGCTCGCATGAGATCATTTTTAAAATCAATTGATGAGAGAATATGGTTAAGTGTGCAAGAGGGTTAGAGCGCTTTCACCGCCACCCCAAAAGTTGAAGGTGGTGAAGTGGTGGTTGAAATAAAATCCTCGACGACTTGATCGACGACTGAGACTAAATTAGCAGGGTAGAACTCAAAAGGTTTGAATACAATATTTAATGTCGTGACACCAAACGAATTCTGACGGATCACTAATTGCAAAAATTCACAGGAGGCATTGGATATTCTTGTGGTTTCATATGAAGGAACTATAGTGGTCAAGATGTCCCATCTCCAAACGTACACATAATTTGAGATGTTGAGAATGCAAGAGAAAGAAACTTTTGGTGATTTATATGCCAAGTTATGTGATATTGTTAACTCATCCTTTGCCTTAGGTACCAAAATCGACGATTTCAGAATTAAGTGAAAAATCTTGAAATCTCTACTAGAAAGATTTCATGCCAAGGTGACCTCGCTCGAGACAAGTGTCAATATGTCCACGGTGTTGGTCAAGGATCTAGTGGGGTCTATTTTGACTTTTGGGATGAACCTTCTTTCACCTAAAAAAGAGAAGGGTGTTGCATTAAATTCGAAAATCGAAGGACGAAAATCCAAGTCACCCGGGTTAGGAGAATAGGACATAGCCTATCTTGCTTGAAAATTCAACAAATATTTCAAGGCTAGTGATGTTAAGTCCTCAACGTCAAAAGGAAATCTAAGTAGACCTAGATCTCCTAGAAAAGGGAAAGAAAGTGAGTCCAGAGCGAGTGTTGATTTTTCTTCGTCAAGTGATAAAGAAAACTTCACAGTCTTTGTAGGTTCAAACTCCTCCCCCCACTAAAAACTTCCATAAATGAAGATAAGAAAGTTGAGTCTAGTCCCACTATGAACGTAGATGACTAGTTGTAGAACTCCTACTAGTGAGTTCTAGACCAAGAGTGTTGAAGACCAAGATGCTTATAATGAATTATACAAGGAGTCTAAAATAAGGTGAGAAGTTGCTTTCATTGAGCAGGAGGCTCAAAACGAGTGAAGATGAAAAGAAAGAACTTCATGTGGACTTATTTAAGTCCAAGGCTCAAATTATTGAGGTTGATGAAGAGAAGTCCCTCCACAACAAGGTGAGTTTCCTTGAGAGAGGGCTTTTAGAGTATAAGAAGGGTCTTTTTGAGTTTAAGATTGTCAAACTTGATAGAGATATTCACGAGTCACAAGAGCTCTCAAAAAGACTTTCACAAAGCACCGAAAAGCTTTGATAAAATGTTGGCTATTAGGGAAAATTGTTGTGGACAAAAGTAGATTAGGTTTCACTAATGAACACAACACTTCCACTTCTTCCAAGACCGTATTTGTAAAAGGTGATCCCAACCCTACACCTCTACGAGTAAACACAAATCCTAAAAAAACTAATCCTGGTAAGGGTAAGCAAGAAAAAAAGCCGGTGCAAAAAAAAACCCAAACCAAGTCATGTGTTTAACTTATGGTGGGCATGATCACAATAGTACACATTTAGAAAGACTTTGTCAAATAAAAATATAGGCCATTTAGGGGCTGTGAACAGTACCTATGAATAGTAATTGAACTGTGAACAGTAACATGAATAATAACCTTGACTAGGAATCACTTCTATGATTTCTTAGGCATCACACCTAGGTGTTACAATTGCATTACACAACTCAAGAAGCATATAATTGCTAAAATTTCTGAAATATTTCACTATATTTTATTAAAAGTAACAATAACTATACATAGAGTTCTAAGTACTCGTAATCCCAAAAGATTAGAATTTCAAAGTCTTTAGGATTCCAAAAAACCTAGGTCCCTAAAACTTAGAAAACTAAAATTAACTAGAACTAAAACTTTAAATTCTAGAATATTCAACACTAGAATTTGACCCAAAAATATGACTCATTCCAAAAATTCTAGACAAAAATACCCCCACTCTTAAAAAAACAATATAAAACACTAATACTATCAAACTAACTCAAAGCAACTAAAAATAAGACTCCATTTATGCTTATACAAGATCCCAAGTAGGTTTTGCATCATCTAACATATGTCAAATTAAAGCTTGAGCCTTGTAGGCGTATCATCATCATGCCCTTGATATAAAATAAGATCCTCAATATTGAAGACTTATTCCCATATCTTCCGACAATTTCAAAACATAAGCATCAGAGGTATTTTCTTTATAATCTTATAATAGAAAACACTTTTTGAATGAAGCTTCTTGTATGCACCCTTAGGATACCTTTCAGGCCTATTACAAACCATAACCATGTCTACTTCCTTGAATTCAGCAAATTTTTTCCTCTAATTAGTATGTAATTTGTAGCTATCATTGCTTGTTGCAATTCTTCATCGCACAGCATCATGTATCTCACGCATGTGTTTGGCAAAAACAACAGCTACAACACTAGGACGAGCCTCTATGGGTAAAGGGACCAAATCTATTGGTTTCCTAGGAAGTAAACCTATCACATTCTCAAAGGGGTTGCGACTTGTAGATCGATTAACGGAGTTGTTATAAGCAAATTCAGTCATAGGAAGTACTTGGTCCTAATTTGCAACATGATCACCAACAAGGCAGCGAAGGAGATCGCCCAAACTTCGATTAACAACCTCTGCTTGCCCATCGGTTTGAAGATGAAAATAGAAGAAAAACTTCAATCTTGTATGCAGCAATTTCCATAAAGTTCTCCAAGGGTAACGCATCAATTTCACACCACAGTCCAAGACAATTGTTTTAGGTAGCCCATTAAGACGAACTATTTCTTTAAAGAAAAGTTTAGCAATATGGATAGCAGTGGATGTCTTAGAACAAGGGACAAAATGACCCATCTTCAAGTATCGATCCAGCACCACAAAGATAAAATCATGACCCTAATGGGTTCTTGACAACCCTAGAACAAAGTCCATACTAAAGTCTTGTCATGGTTCATGAGGAATAGGTAATGGCAGGTACAAACCAGTATTTTTCTTCCTTCCCTTTGATATTTGACAAGTCCGACATCAAGAGACAACTTTGGCTACATCTCGCTTCAAACTTTGCCAATAATAACGGTCTTCAATCATGACAATGGTTTTATATCTTCCAAAATAACCTGCTGCCCCTCTAGAATGCAATTCCTAAATCATTTGTTCACGTAGAGTTGTGTTAGGCAAACAAAGACGAGTTCCCCTAAAGAGATAATCGTCGTGCACGAAAAAATTTGAATATGTTGCATGCTATCTACCCTTCAAATCAATATATATATATATAAATTGCAAAAATCCTTGCAAGATGGGTAGTCCTGTTTAAGCAAATCAAAGCCCACCAATTGTATGGTCAGTGAGGAAAGCATAAGCACCTTATGACTTAGTGCATTAACTATTTTATTCTCAACACCTGCCTTATGTTTGATCACTAATGTAAATTCTTGTAGAAAAGAAATCCACTTTCCATGTCGATGATTCAACTTCTTTTGGGAATTGATATATTTAAGTGCTTCATGGTCGGAGTATAATACAAATTCCATGGGAATAAGATAATGCCGCCTATAACGAAGTGATTGCACCATAGCATAAAATTATGTGTCGTAAGTAGAGTACTTTTGTTTTGCCTCATTCAACTTCTCGCTAAAATAACCAATAGGATGGCCTTCTTAACTAAGTATGCCACCAATTCCCACATGTGATGCGTCACAATCTACCTCGACCACCTTTGAAATATCTGGAAATTGCAAAACTGGAGCTTCAATCATTCTCTTCTTAATATCTTCAAAAGCTTGGGAGGAAACCTTGGTCCAATTGAAGTACCCCTTTTTCATATAACTAGTGATTATATATTTTAATGCATTTATTTGCTTAGCATAAAACACTTGCAAGAAAGTTTCAAAAAAATTCATTTTATTATTAAAAGGGAAAATTACGAGAAAATTTTTCTAATTTTCTGAATTTTCCTTAATTATATGAAGATCGGTCTAAAAAGAATAAAATATGTATTATCTTTAAAATTAAAAAATATAAATAAATAAATAAGTACCTCCTAACCTAATTCGGCAACAAAGATTGGCCAAAACCCAAATATCCAGGCCTGATTATATATGATTAACTTAACTCATACCAAGATTTTTTTAAAATAAATAACCAATTGAATATTTTTAAGGAAATTAAGAGAAAAAATAGAAGGGCGAATTGCACTTTGCACCCTAAAAAATGTTAAGATTCTCACTTTATACCCTCAAAGATTGAATTTTTTATATTACACCCTCAATGTAACAAAAGTGTTGCAATGTGACCAATTTGTTAGCTTCCTGTTAATTTTTTTGTCAATGTCAATGCAATGACTTTAACAGAAAAAATGACGAAAGTTAACAAAAAAATCACATTACAATACTTTTGATACATTAAGGGTGTAATGTGAAAAATTTAATCTTTAAGAGTGCAAAATGGGAATTTTGATATCTTTCAAGGTGCAAAATGCAAAAAGCTCAAAATAAAAAGATGAATTATAGATCACAACTTTCTTATTTTTCCTTATGTTTTTTTCAAGAAAAAGAATTGGTTAGTTGTAAGAAAATTTCAATATAGAAGAATTATTTTTTTCGTCATTTTTCATTTCATGCGAACCAAACACATGAAATTTTAAAAATTTTCTCTTTATTGCATTTTCTACTATTATCCAGCTAAACAAATGAATCCTGAGATTTCATACTCTCTTTTCTCAACTCTTCATCTAATCCCCCTCCACCTTTAACCTTATCAAAGTAACCAATCCTTTCTAAAATCAAACTTTTACTGACATGAGTATCACCAAACATCTCCTTATTCCAAACCTTTAATTTTTGTTTAACAAAATTCAACTTTTTCATGAACTCATAACCTATAAAACTCCCCCATATCACCACTTCCTAAACCCCGTTTTAAAAGCATGATGCTCAAGCCACATTCTCAAACCTGAAAGGACATGGACCCCATTTAAAAATAGAAGTATCAAGTACAATGGAACAATGATCACAAATAACTCAAGCCAAAGTCTCTTGTCTGCATCTAAGAAAACAGTCCTCCCACTCATCTATAAACAAAAACCTATCAAGTCTCTTACACAGTAAAGCCTTCCAAAGATTAGACCAGTGTTATTTAAGGCGTAAAACGAACCGAAGCGACCAAGGCTCCTAACGCCCAGAAAAAAAATGAAGCGAAATATTTTACCAAAGCGAAACAAACAGTTAAAAAAAAAAAGGAAAACATTTTAGTTTAATTACTTCTAAACATCTAAGTTCTAATTTTATATATACTAAATATTTAAATGCAAGTAAAACCATATATATTTAAATTAAAACAAACACTAATAATATTTCAAATCTTAATAACAGTCATAGCTTAAACATTTAAATTCAAACAAACACTAATAATATCTCAAATCCTAATATTTAAAATCAGCACTATCAACATTCAGCATTAAAGCATTCATCATCAAGATTACAAAAAAACAGCAATCATTATTACAGAAAATCAGCACTAATATCAGCAAAATAGCATTACAGAAGCAGTAGCATATAAACATTAAAGAAGCAAGAAAAAAACAACATTATCAGAAGCAGAAGCAGCAAAAATAGAAAACAGAAGAGAGAAACAGAAAACAGAAGAGAGAAGAAACAAAAAACAGAAAACAGGAGAGAAAAGAAGCAGAAACAGAAAATAGAATAAGAAGCACCAAAAAATTACAGAAGAGAAGCAGAAAACAGAAGCAAAACCAGAAAACAGAAGCAATAGAAACAGAAAACAGAAGAGAGAATAAGCAGCAGAAACAGAAAACAGAAGAACCAAAATCAGAAGCAGAAAAAAAAATTACATTAGCAGAAACAGGAAAAAAAAATAGCAGCAGTAGACCATCTGAGAACCAGAAGGGCAGAAGAGAAAAGAAAAAGAGAACCAGAGAAGAAGAAACTGAGAAGAAAAAGAAAAAGAGGACCAGAAGAGAAGAAGCAGCAGCAGGTGATCGGAGAGGAAGGTGCAGCAGGCACACCGCAGTCTGATCTGATCCTGAGCAAAATTAGAGTTGGGTTTTATATTTATGAGATAAGGGAGTAATTGGGTGTACGGGCATCTTATAATTTCTTTCCAATTGCCCCAATCTAACGGTCCACAATAAAAATAAAACAATTCAACGGTCCACAATAAAAATAAAACATAAGCTCACCTTGCATAACTAAGGCGCTCGCTTTTCAGTTACATTCACTTCGCATAGGGTGTTCAAGGCAAAAAGGCCTCGCATCTCGCCTAGGCGAGCTTTTCAAAACACTAGATTAGACCAAGTATATGTACCATTTGCAAAAGGGTCCTTAAGCTCAATGTCCCTAATAAAAGAATGAAAATTTCTCATGCTTTTTTATGACCCCCCCCCCCCCAAATGAATACCTAGTCGTATTAAACTCGCCTCCTATACACCAACACCTAGGACTACACACTCCAAACAATCTTGTTAACTCTTCCCACGACATTCTTAATCTAGGTTCATTAGGCCCATATATAACAGCTAGCCACCACTCAATAGTTCCCCTCCACCAAAAGATATCTTTCATCCCAGATTATAACATCCCCCCACCTCCCCACAGATGGTAAAAAAAACTTAATTCCTATACCTACCCCAGACACTCTTAATAATTTTCCTATAAATAATGTCTACCTATTTTATTTTATTTTTGGTCAAATAACCTCCATCTAAGACTCCAGCAAAATGACAATCCGGCCTTACTCTTAAAAAGCTCCTTTATTGAGGATGTTTTTTACTATATCTCAAACCCCAAACATTCCAACTACAACCAATGCACTCTCTCCTACTCTTCTAGAGCTCCTCGTATCATAATTTCTCCTTATTGCAAATTCCTTAACTCAAATCCCTTTTTGCTTTCTTGCACTCTTATTCCCCTTATTCTTACACTTCTTTTGGTAGGGACAAGGAAAATATCCATTTTTATAATAAAATTTCTTAGAACTTCCCATTTTTCTCCATTAAACACAATATCTGCTCTCAACATCAACCTATCACTCCTCCCTCTTCACACAACTCCCCAATCCGTCTCCCTCCACACAAATAATCGCCTAATCAAGCATAGCGGGTGATTTCCTAGGAGCTAAACTAACAGTAGCCCCACTATTATTGTTGCACAAATTTGACTCATACTCAAATCTTTATTACCTAACAGGCCTAAAACTGGTTTTTCCTCAATTCTCATGGACCACATCCATCAATGATAATTGCCCTTTTCTTAGAGGACCCAAAAATTCCAGATATACCCTCCAACCTCATCCCTTTCTTAGATACAAATTTACCCCTCCTTACTGTATCACTTCCCCATCATGACAAACCAACCAAGAATGGCATCCCCCCTTCTCACCTCTTAACATTTTGCGCCTCCAGAATGATAGAGTAGATAAAACAAAATTTCCCTAAAGACTATCCATCACTGAAAATAAATAAGAGTTATTGAGCATTTCACCAATGCAAAAATTTGCATTAGGAAGTAGCTTAAAGACTAGCCTCACAACATGTTCCAGAAACAAGAGCGCCATATCGTTCGACATTTTCCTATAAATTTTTTACGTCATCATGGTCCCCTAGCTTGAAATAGCCTCTCTCTATCACCAGAAAAATCAGCAAAGCTTGGTTCATCTTCCCTCTCATTGGGAACGCTACAGTTGGACTCATCAGTTGAACTTTCATTACTATCACCATGCCCTTGTCAGTTGAACTTTCATTACTGTCACCATGCCCTTGAGAACTATCATCCACTTCATTTAAATCAAAGAATCCCTCACCCACCTCGATCATCACACTCTTCAAATCCCCATTTTCCACATTAAATCCAAAATCAAAATCATCACAAGTTGAATCCCCTTCAATTTTCAGGTCTTCTTCTACATCTTGAGCCATTCTGCTTGAAATACCGATCTTCTCCTTTTTGCTCTTCTTGATATCTCTAAATTGGGTGAAGGCATCGACAACCCAAGAAAGGTTCGTTGCCCGCAAACTCAAGTCCCTTGTTGATTTTGCCCTAATTCATTTCCCGATCCTTTTAGCGAGGCCACCCATCTCATTTGTAAAAAACTAGTAAGGAGACCCAACCTTTATTTACAAAAATCGATCGGTTTTGGGTTAGAAAGCCCTCGTTTAAATCCTGGCAATAATGGCCCACTTCTCAGTGGCCTAATGTCTTAAGAAGAGGCCCACCATCCATCTTTCAACTTTCAGAAATCCTTGTCTCTTTAGGCCCGCTAACTATCTCATGGGATTGGGCTAACCACTACAAATAATCTCCTACCCTATGCTTAAAATTTCGTTTCAGTGCATTATTTCGATCACCAAGGAAATGAAACATTTCAAAATGTTTCGACTTGTTTCGAAAATAGAATGAAAAAAATTATATATAATATAAAACTTATTTTTTCAAAACATTGACCAAAATAACTTGAAATACCTTGAAACATTCTGAAACAATAATAATACCGAATATTTCAAAACATTATGAAACACCTCGAAGTATTAGGATTTTGATGTCATCATTGATTCGTTTCGGTCTCCTTGAAAACGAAAACGTTTTAGATGTTTTGACCGTTTCGAAACAAAATTTTGATACTTGTTCCTTCCAACATAATAAAAGGTTCAAAGTTTCGGTCAAATCCGATACAATCCAATAACAATACTCGTTATGCAAATATAGTGAGTCACAAACTACTTGACTATAACTCGATTACATATCGGACAATTCGGCAAGAATCGGAGTCATATCACTGGACTCGAACAATTTGTAACCGAATCGAATCGATACATGGTGGAACCATTCAAAAAACTCATAAAGCAAACGGCAAAAGCAATCTAAGAGAAGGAAGAAAAACATGAGACCCACATCTAAATTCACCCAATTTATACAAGTATTGAACACTTAATCACACCTTTTTTTGAAATTGTACAAACGGAAGATTAAATTTGATGAATCCGTAACACAAACCTGTAAAATCAAAGGTACTGCAGTGAATACAAATCATAAGGAGGCCCCCCTCTTCTTCTTCTTCGTCGTCATCATGAAGATGTCGCAGTTTCACAAGCCCAACATCGTTGCGCCATCTTTTCTTCTCCGTTTTCATCACGCCGACTCATCGAAGACTCTCGTCTCTCTCTTTCTCCTCTCTCGATTGCCAAAAAGAGTCAAAAGACTATCGGTGGTGGGGTGGGTTTCTTTTTCCTTTTTTTAATGGGTTAAAACATTGTTAAGTATATGTATTTTTATAATGTACTTTACTAAAATGTACATACTAGGTGTCTATTTAAGAGTTACATATATTAAGGTTTCATTATATTAAGTTTAAATGGTAGGGGGTATTATGGTACATAGACACACATGTATTCATTATATGTACAAGATAGGTCAGATCTTGTTTATTGATTTTTTGGTAGTTCTCCTGTAATATGATTTCTCTCATCTTTCTTTTATCTATGACATGATATCAGAGCAAAAACCCTAACCCTAATCAATTTCATTTCTTCTCTTCTTCAATTCTTCTCCTTTCTTTCTTTTCCTTTTGTATTCTTCTCCTTCTTTTTCCTCGTATTTACTCAAGAGTATATTAAGAACCAAACAAAGGTTGACCAGCCCTCGTCACTGTTCACATACTGTATAGTCATCTGCACAGTGCAGATCCCACATGGATTTGTTTCTCTCTCTTGGTTGTATCTGCTGACAAGATGGTTCTGTGTTTCGAAACCGATTGGTACGCCAAAACCCTAGTTTTTCAATGCTTCAACTAGACTGGTTTAGTGGCTATTGTTTCCATTGCCAGGAGGTTTCAGTTGTTTTTCCTTGCATTTTTCAGTTTTCAGTTTATGGTTTCTTGTTCATTTTGCATCACATAGAAGCTTAAGGTTATTTTACTGAGTAGCTCTCATGGATAATGGTAGTGCTAATGTAAAAATTGTATCTAAATATTGGAATACAGGTTACTACCATCCAATTGAATGGCACTAACTATTTGTTGTGGGCACAAGCCTTTATGGTTGCTTTTGGGGGAAAGAAAAAAGCTTAAGTTTATTCAAGATTTACCACCAAAGAAGGATGATAATGGCTATGATGAGTGGGTGTCAGACAATGCATTGGTTATTACTTGGTTGTGGAAAAGTATGGAGTCGTCAATTAGTGCGAATGTCATGTTTTTGGACACAGCAAAGGAGATAATGGGATGCTTTACGAGAGATGTTCTCTATGGATCAAAATATTTCTTGTGTATTTAAGTTGTATGAGAACATTTTTCTATTGCAGCAAGGAGATCGCAGTGTTGGTGAGTAGTACAGCTTGTTTAAAGGGACGTTGGATGAGCTTAATCAATATCATCCATTGACTACTAATTTGAATATCTTAAAGAAACGACAAGAAGAATTTTATGTCTCTAAATTCTAATTGGGATTGCATTATAAACTTTAGGGTATTCAGTGTCAGATTTTAGCTGGGGATGGAAGTCTTCCAATGCTCAATAATGTTTACTCTCGTGTTCTTGGGGCTTCTATTGCATCCGCCTCATCCTCTAGTGCCACTGGAAAAGATAATTCAGCCTTGGTTTCTTTTTTCAATTCCCCTGGTTTTTGGTGAGGCAGAGGTAGTTCATGTGGTTGTGGTCCCATTGGTAGGGGTCACTTTAGTTCATCTGGGGCCTTCAGTGGTAGAGAGCATGGTCAAGGCCATACAAAGTTTCGAGATCAGGCCCGAGGTCGATGTACTCACTGTGGTGGTGATAGACATATTGTGGACAAGTGCTATGATCTCAATGGTTAACAATGGGAGAATCGGGGAAATCAAGTTATCACTTCTGAGATAGACTCAACTTTCCCAAATATTAATGCTAGTACCATATCTTCTTCCTCAAGTTCATCAGAGTCTGTGACTCTTACCAAATCAGAGTACCTAGCTTTGCTTTAGCAAGTTCAGCAAGCTTCTGGTACTAATGTTGCTCCTCTTGCCCACTCATGAAACAGTGCACGTCTTGCCACTTCTAGTTTGTCACGCTTGGATTATTGACCCAGGCATAGTTGTTAGTATCGTACGATACATTACGATACGGAGGTAAAACGATACGAATCTTAATTATGTATCATTTTTGCGTCGTATCGTCCGATACACGATACGTTTTTACGATACGATACATATCGGTACAATATGACTGATACGCGCAAAATCTCTTCTTTTTTTTTGAAACGTCATTTTGTTTAAATAAGACACTAATTTTTTTATCCCCGCCACTAATGAAACGTTATTTTGTCTAAATAAGACACTAATTTTTTTTTTGTATAAAAAATTCTGAATCTTGATTAATTTTACGGATTGAGTTCAAAATAGATGTTAGAAATTTGGATTAAAAGTCTCTTTGGTGTTTGAAGTTTGAATTAGTGAACTATGGTCGTAAACTTTGCATTATAATATTAGTGAACTATGTTGATGACTTGAATAGGTAGTGGAGTATTAATGAAATGCTATATTTTTATGAGTGTATGATTTTTTTTCAAAGGTATATATATTTTTTTATTATTTATTTAAAATTGCACCATATCTTACGATACACGATACGATATACTATTTTTAAAAAACGATACGCCTTCCAATACACGATTTGATAACTATAGACCCAGGAGTCTTGGCTCATATGACTGGTCAGTCTTCCTTGTTATCTACTTTGGATACTAATCAGTCTGAGTTTTTTGTTACTCTTGCTGATGGTAGTTGTCGCCCTGTGCTCGGTAGTGGTACTATTTCACCATCTTCCTCATTATCTTTATCTTCTGTCCAATATGTACCACAGCTTCCTTTCAACCTCCTTTGTATTAGTAAGTTGACTAAAGCTTTAAATTGTTCTGTGACACACTATCCCTCTTTGTGAGTGTTTCAGGACCTTAAAATGAAGAAGATGATTGGTGGAGGTTGTGAGCTGGGTGGACTCTATTATGTTGATAGTCTACTTGATTTGAGCGATGTTACAGATCAATGGCATTGCCGTTTGGGACAACCCTCTTTGCAATCATTGAAGTCTTTGGTTCCTTCATTACAATCAGTGTCTAAGTTAGAATGTGAAGCTTGCCAATTGGGCAAGCATCACCGTCTCTTTTCTTCCTTGTGTCAATAATCGTCGATCTGCTCCTTTTGAGTTAGTCCACTCAGATGTGTGGGGGGTCTAGCAAGACATAAGAGTGTCTTAGGTTTTTCATATTTTATTACATTTGTGCATGACTTTTCTCATATGATTTGCTTATTTTTAATTAAAGATCGATCTGAAATTTCTTCGATATTTAAACTCTTTCATAAAGAAATTGCAAATCAATTTGGTTGTTCCATTTGCACTTTACGTTCTAATAATGCCTTGGAATATGTGAAGGGATATCTTCATTCTTATTGTGAACTAAATGGTATTGTACATCAGTCTTCTTGTGGATATACCCCTCAACATAATGGTTTAGCTTAACACAAAAATAGACATTTGCTAGAGGTTGATACTAGGAAACACGGACACTTGCCGGGAGGTCGACGTGACGGTGTCAAACACGTGTCCGACACAAATTCGTGTGGGATACAGCCGGACACGTGCCCAACACTCCTATGGGTGTCTTGAATAGCGAACCAAAATTTTTTGAAGCCGGATATGGCTAGGACACATAAGGGATAGATGGAATAAGGGGCTGAAAAGGGAAAAAAAAAAGTAGAGGACGTCGACAGAGAGTAAAGAAGAAGAGTGAAGAGATATACTGGATCTGCTTCTTTCCTTCTTCTTTGTTTCTTCTTTCTTCTTTCCTTTTTCTTCCTCCCTCCAACTACTTCTCTATCGGTGCCCTAGTTCTTTTTTCTTTTTCTTTTTCTTTTCTCTCTCTCTCTCTCGATCTCAACTGAACAGAGAAAGCGTTGCTTTCTTTTATTAATATTGTATAATTTATTTATTAATTATTAAATAGATTAACCCACAAGCCCACAGCCACTTCCCACTTTTATGTTAAACCCACTGCCTAATTCTATTATATTGGCCCATTACTCAATTGTTGTAAGAAATTAACCAACTACTCAATAATTTTTAGGTCTTATTATTAATATTATTTATATAAAAAATATATAATATTACTTTAATTAGTTATATCCTTGTCGTACCTGTGTCCTATATTTTGTCGTATCCTCATGTCCGTATCGTATCAGATACAGCAACCGTGTCCGTATCCGTGCTTCATAGGGTTGCTAAAACCTGAATGTTACATGTGAATGTTCAAAAAGAATTCTGGGGGCTGCTATATTAACTACTTGTTATCTTATTAATCGCATGCCCTCTTCTGTCCTTGGCAGTTCCATCCCTTTTTCTATCATATATCCTAATTTACTCTTGTATGAGTTATCTCCACGTGTGATGTAGGATGAAAAGGACTAGAAATCAAAGAACAGAAAGAGAAAAATAAAAAAATGGTGGAAGCAATTTACCTCATCCTCACAAAGAATCGGTGAAGAAACACACAAAAAATTCTCCACAGAGAAACAATTTTTATTATATTACTCTCTAATAAAAATAGTGGGGATTACATCGATATTTATAGGACAAGTCCCCAACCAAAATAAAAACTACTCTCCTACTAAAATACTAAAAGAATTTCATAATCAAACTCTTGAACTCTTATACTACTAAAACTCTATAATAATTTCCTAATCAAACTCTAATTAATACTCCTAGTCAAACAGATATTTCCTAATTAATATAATAATACTAAAACAAATAATAAAATTCAACTCTTCAATGAAGCTCATCCAATCTCTTTTCGATCTCTATCAATTCTCCTCGGCTGAAAAAAACTCTTCTCCCAAGAGTTGTTGTAGCAAGAATAGTTCAAGAAAATTGACATCAGACGGTGAACACATCTTCAAACTTAATAGAATAGAAGTAAGATCTCTCTTCAATCACATAATATAAGATATCACAATGGGAAGAATCTATATCTCGAATCTTCATAAGCTTCACACTTTGTTCAAGATAAAAGGATGGTGATGATATTGACGAAAAAGTAACAACCCCATCTAAAAAAATCACGTTTGAAACTTGTTTAACTTCATTTGTAGGAACACCCTTTGCAATCGACTTATCACAACCAATTGTTATAGGATGAGTAGAAGTAGAACTTTTGGGTTCATCAACATTGAATAACTTCGGTTTATTGCCATTCAATCTGATTAGAATTTGTAGTGGTGAAACTTGTGGTATAAGTGGAAGGGTTGTGATCAACCACTTTTTGATTGACAATTGAAAAAACAAAGTTAAAATCTTCCCTTGTTTTTGGTTTCACAAACTATAGCGAGTACAAGTTCTCTTAGTGAATCAATGAATGCTTGAATTGTATCTAGTCTAGCATTCATGTCTTTTGTTAATTATCATGTGCTTGGGATAAAGCCTCCACTTTAGCATTTAACTCAACATTATAGACCATATTGATGGAAGAGAGTTTTGAAGAATTTTTTGAAAATTTTGGGATCAATGTATAGTTTCAGAAGCTTCTGGGATAAGGTTGGAATTTTAGAAACTTTTGGGGGGCAAAACTGTAATTTCAAAAAATTTTGGGGTCAAAGCATAATTTCAGAAACTTTAGTAGGAGAAAGTATAATTTTAGAAACTTCTAGAAAGGGGGGTAAAATGTACTTTCTAGAACCTCTGGAATTCCAGATTTCACAGGCAGCAGATAGTTCTAGAATGGGTTGTGTTCAAGTCTAGGGAGCAAGTTAAGTAAAAGATATGTGTTGGCCTTTAGGTTTTATAGGTTAGGGCTTTTTTTTTTAAGCTTACCTGCTTGATTAACAAGAGCAGCCACCTCCTTCAGCAACAGTGCAGTACTGATAACCAATAGCAGCAACAAAAATCAGAAAATTCTGATGACAAGAAGCACCAGAGTATGGCCGTTCAGTCACACCCATCAGCAACTGACGGTGAACAATAAGTTTGAAGGCAAAGAATAAAGAAGAAGAATGGAGGCTATGAATCGGAGTTTCACTATGATACCAAATTGATGTAGGACGGAAAGGACTAGAAATCAAATAATAGAAAGAGAAGAAGAAATAAGGGGGTAAAAGGGATTTACCTCATCCTCGAATCGATGAAGAAACACACAAAATTCTCCACAGACAAACAATTTTTATTATATCACTCTCTAATAAAAATAGTGGGGATTACCACGATATTTATAGGACAAGTCCCCTACCAAAATAAAAACCATTCTTCTACTAAAATTTTAAAAGAGTTTCATAATCAAATTCTTAAACTCCTATACTACTAAAACTCTATAATAATTTTCTAGTCAAACTCTAATTAATACTCCTAGTCAAACAGATATTTTCTAACTAATATAATAATACTAAACAAATAATAAAATCCAACTCGTCAATTAAGCTCATCTAATCCCTTTTCGATCTCTATCAACGTGTTTTTTGGATGTGTGTACTTTGCCCATATTCTTTCTCCATGTCAAGACAAACTAGATCCCAAAGATGTCAAATGTATGTTTCTGGGGTATTCTCGTACTCAAAAGGAGTACAATTGTTGGAATCCCATCACTTGAAAGTTTCTTGTTAGTGTTGATGTTACCTCCTTTGAGGTTGCTTTATTATTGGGTTCTGGTGGTGATATACAGATTCTACTACTCTCGATAGTTCTTCTATGGTTCCTCTTCCTGTTCCAAGCTAGGCTTTGTGCAGCTCCTCATGATGTATCTCCACCTTCTATGAAGCATCTTCATGTTTATGAATGCAAATCTAAGGCTTCTTCAATGCCTCAACAATCTCGGCCTACTGCTTTTGTGCCACCTGCCTCAGTGCCTTGGCCTTCATCTATTTCATCTCGAGTTACCTATTTCTTCTAAGCCTTCTGATGAGCTTCCTATTGCTTTACGAAAGGGTGCTCAGTTATGTTCGCGTTATCCCCTTCATAAAGTAGTCACTTTTTCACATCTTTCTAACAATTTTGATTCCTTTGTTAGTTCCTTGTTTTCTACTATTCTTCCTCAATCTTATCTTCAAGCATTGTATTCTTCTAAGTGGAAGAGTGTGATAGATGAGGAAGAATTGCTGCCTTACATCGTAATCATACCTGGGAGCTCATATGCCAACCTCTAGAGTGTCGTTGGGTGTATGCAGTTAAGTACCATGTCAATGGAACTGTAGATAGATTGAAGGCTTGCCTAGTTTCCAAAGACTATACCCAAACCTTTGGTGTGGACTATGTTGAGACAGCTTCTCACATTGCTAATCCTAGTTCTATTCGGGTCTTATTGTCCGTAGCTGTGTGCAAGCATTGGCCTTTGTATCAACTTGATATCAAAAATGCTTTCCTAAATGGTGATTACTGGAGGTGTATATGGAGCAACCTCAAGGATATGTTGCTCAAGGGGAGTCCCACAAAGTTTGTTGGTTAAAGAAGGCAATCTATGGTCTCAAGCTGTCACTGAGGGCTTGGTTTGACAAATTCAGTCAAGTAGTAGTCGCCTGTGGGTTAAAAAGAATAATGTTAGATCATTTTTGTACTTGTGAGATAAAGTTCTAAGGGGAGTATAATCCTTGTTGTGTATGTGGATGACATTGTCATTACTGTAAATGATGCAGATGGCATTAGCGATCTAAAAGCACATCTGGCTGTGCATTTCCATATGAAGGATTTGGGTAAATTGAGGTATTTTTGGAGTATTGAGATGGCAAGATCATGAGAAGGGATATCACTCTCACAACAAAAATATGACTATCTTCTTGCAAAAATAGGTTTGTTGAGTGCTAAGCCAGTTGACACTCCAATGGATCCTAACATAAAATTTTGAAGAGCTTGGGCAATATAAAAGACTTGTTGCAAAATTGTTTTATTTGACCGTGACTAGACTAGATATTACCTTTGTTGTTCGGCTAATGAGCCAGTTTATGCAAGCACCAAGGCAACAACATTGGGATGCTCTATTTCATATCTTAAGATATTTGAAGGGAGCACCAGGTAAAGGCTTAATGTTTAGATCATCCAATAATCTTAATATTGCCTTTATTGATGCAGATTAAGCAAGAGATCACCTTGATAGACGGTCAGTGTCTAGTTTATGCACATTTGTGGGGGGTAATTTGGTGACTTGGAGGAGCAAGAGACAAAATGTAGTGGCTCCATCCAATGCAGATGCAGAATATAGGGCAGTGGTGGACGCCGCATATGAGATGTTATGAGTGAAATCATTGTTGGGGGAGATGGGCATTGTTCATAACAAGCCCATGCAAATGTTTTGTGATAATCAGGCTTCCATGAATATTGTGGGTAATCCGGTGTTTCAAGAGAGAACAAAATATATAGGAGTTGATTGTCATTTTGTACGAGAAATAGTAATGGAATTATGTGCAATGGGATTATAATAAAATGAAGTAATGGAATTATGTGTAAATTACATCCCAGCCCCCTAAAGTCTGTCCCTTAATCAAACAAGTCTCATAAGGTACATAAAACTTATGTGACACCTGCTATCAATAATGCTTAATAAAGTATTGCCACCTATATTTTTGAAATTTTACCCTTGTTACAAGAATCTAACAAAAAGATATCCAAACCCAACCAAATCCCCCCTCCTATTCCGCACCTCCAACCTTCACCCCCTTGCTTTCTGTTTGCCCTCCAACAGATTTTTCCCCTCGTTCTCTCTATTTCTTTCTTTATATCTGGCACCAACCCCACAACCTATTTGCAACCCAAACCACCAATCAATCTTGCTTTGCCACCATTAGCACCAATCCGTCTACATGTCACCACCACCAACCACATCACATTTCCTCACGCTACTTCCCTAATATAAATTCAAAACTAAGGCCTCGTTTGGTAACGTTTTCGTTTCTCATTTTTCGTTTTTATTTTGATATTTAGAGAAAACAAGAAAAAAAAACTCGTTTGATAACCGATTTTGTTTTTCGTTTCTGCCACCATTTTGTAAACGAGGGCCGATTTTCAAAAACCAAAAAAAGACGTTTTTGGTTTTCGTTTTTCGTTTTTCAAAACGTTACCAAACGGGGCCTAAATAATTCAGTTCAAAATCCCAACTTTTAGCAAGATTGAGGAAGTTTGTGTCTCTGCTCACGTATGTGAAAAAGAGGCGTGATTTTTCTTCAAATTATGAGAGGAAGGTCTCAGTTCAAGAAATATGTTATGAGAAACACATCTGATTGAAACTAGAACATCACTAGCATAGAAAAAACATTTCACTTACACTGCTTCCGCCAATACCCAGAAATGACCTCATTCTCCTCGCAGTGTCAAGAGCACTTTTGAATAGGAAAGGTGTCCCATTTTCCACAACCACCTGAATATCCCTCCTTGACAATAACCTGTAACCAGAAAAGCGGGAAAAACAGTAATACTTGAAACTACTATGAAATTCTTTGCCATTATAAACGAAATTGAAGAGGCAACACACCCCAAAAGATTTGATCTTTCACGAGCAAAAGCTAAACATGCATTCGCAGCATGAACAAACTCATCATTCAGTTCCTCATACGCCACAAACGCGTCCTCAGGTATAATCTCATGTCCCTCTGCCGCATCTAATCGCTGCCTATCAAAATACCCACTTGTAGACACAGTGTCAATCAGCTTGGACCAATCTGGCCAAGGGTGGGAGGCCCCAGAGGTCGGAGAGAAGCCAGGAGGGGAGTCTTGAAAATGGTCCTCTTTGAGTGTGTTGCTTTGAGCATGAATCTGTTGTTGCTGTGAGGACTTGATGGGGAGGAGTAATTGGTGGGGAGGTGAAGAGGGAGAGAGTGTGAGGTGGTGGGGAGTGGTGGAGAGAGAGAGGAGCGAGGGGCGGGTGAGGCGGAAAAGAGAAGGCCGAGAGTAGAGAATAGAAGGGAAAGGAGTAGTGACGAGCATGATGAACCTGGAAGCGCCACCCATTATAAGGAAATGGGAATTTAGAGGTGGTGGAAAGAGGGTGGAGTGCGGCGAAGTAAGGGTGGTGGGTGGTGGGTGATGGTGGTGGAGATGAAACCCTAGCAGGAGTGATGTGGTGGTTGAAATCGATGGGTTGTGGCTATGGACTACTAAAACCCGAAACCCGTTGTCAACAGAACAAAATATCCACCAGCTAAAAAAATGGAACAAAAAATCCTGATGCTCGACAGGGGATCGAGTATTTTTGTCTGTCCCAGGTTTGTTTTGTATTTTCTTTTCTTTTAATCAATCTACGTGATAAAATAGAGTGAGTTCTGAATCTTGACAGTTATCTTATGTTTTTCATGGTCTAAATCTATTTTGAGGGAAAAAAAATGTTAAATATTAGAGACTATATTGTCTCAAGCTTTTTGGAGCTCTAACGAATCAAATTCATTTCTAGGGTAAGTGTCACGATCTGAATAATGTAAAAGTTGGATGTAATTGATCTAATAATGCATATTCAAGTTCTGCTCGTGATTGACATTTGTTTTCCCACATAAACCAAGTTTTATTTATGATTCCAAATTAACTCCTCTAATTCGTCAATCTAATGCCTCTAACTTCCAAATTAATGTCTCTCTCTCCCTCCCTCCCCACATCTTTGTGTCCCAAATCTCCCAAGTCTCTCATTTCTCGTAATTATCTCTCCCAAATCTCCCCTATCTCTTCATGCATATCTAGCCTTCTCTCTCCGGGGCCTCACACACCCTACTCTCAATTTGTCTCACCTCCCTCTTTGATTTCTCTTTCTTCTCGATCGGCTCCCTCCCTCTTCTTTTTTTTCTCTCTTCTTGCTATGGTCGTAGCTTCACTGTCACCGTCCAGCAACCCACCAGTCTCTCTAACTAGTAACTCTTTCTCTCTCTCTTCCCTTCTTTTTCTTCTACACCAAAAGCCACTACTCTACAGCCACTGCTACCTCCATCCCCTTCATCCTCCCCCCAAACCCATCACCCAAACCCCAGCGCCTCTACAATAATCAATGCACACCATCGATTTCCATATCCTATCAATCTCCATTCACTCGATCCATCCATCCCTATGTTTTTATGTCAATTAAGGCTCTTGTGGTGGTGCTTATGGCGGCGATATTTGTTAGGGTCAGGGGTAAGATAGTTTCAATATTTAGAGTTTCTCTTCCGCTCTCTATTAGGGGGTATGTCCGTTAGTTCAATGGTATGGCTCTCTTATTCATATGTTGGTTTGATTATCTAAATATTGTATTTCAATTAAATTAAGGCAATTAGTGGTGGACTGCACTTAACCGAATCAAGACTTATTCTCCAATGCTTTATATTCTCTTTGCTTTCAATAGATGATGAAATGGGACTTCCTTTTTTGGGCATTCAATTTTGTTTTGCTACCATTGTTGAAGTCTGGTAAGTATAGATTTTTCTTTTGTAATCATTTTTGGGCATGTTTATTTGGCTATGGAGAAATTTGGGCCATGCATATATATTCGTTGCTTGATCAATAAGAATTTCTAGTTGTTACCCTGAGTTATCATTCTATCTAATTGGATTTTTTTTTATTTTTTGCATTTCATTGTGCGATAAGAGATGTTCTAAATTGATATTGTTTTCACAACCTCTATTTGGTTATTTTTCTTCTCTTGTGCGGCTAATATTTCAAATATGAAAGACCCAAAGTTGCCTTAAGACTCTTCTTGGTTCAGCCCTTTTTATTGAAAAGATGATTGGTAAAGCTTATAAGTTTTGGTTGGGTGCATGGTTTTTACACTTGGAATTGCCATTTTAAATTTTTTGTTGGCAAGCATTTGACTTATGCAGATACTATGTCTTGAAGTTTGTATAAAATAACCTTTGGTTGGATTCAGATTATTCTCTTTTACATTGTCATGCATCTATTCCACATCACACGAACAACAAAAGGAACATAGTGATAAGGAATTAGTGTTCAACTTATTTGTTTAGTTAGAAAATGTTATCTATTGCTCATTGTAAGTAGTACAAATTTTGTTTTTGAATATGTCATGGCAAGTGTGTGTCAATGCCTATGTGGTAGCTCTATGCATGCATCCATGCGTGAATGTGTGGCAACATAGAGGATGACATCTAGGTTACTGCACTAATACTTAACTTGACAAATTTAGACTTTTGTTTAGTGTTCAATTTGGTTTTTCTAGATCAGGCACCAGAATGGAACAAATGTTGGATGAATACCCTTTCTTCATCTCCTTTGGTTGGAAATGGAAACTATGTTGTGGGACAAATTTCGGATCTTGTCAAGTTTCTTTTACTGTCAACCTTGGCTAGAGTAGTCCCTTTGTAACTTAGGGAATTAGTTAGAAAAAAGCCACGGAGGAATGCATAGAACTCGCTCAAGTGGTGTTGCTTTTGAACAGGTTTGATATGTGATTTTCATTCTAGTGTCAACCGCCCTTTCACCTATCATGCGGTCATTTGCATATTTGAGTTTTCTTTTTTACTAAGACTACCTACCAAAACCTTCTAGAAGGTTCTGCTTCGAGCTTCCGGAAGTTTTTGCCCAAAAATGCCAGACACCTGCAACTCAAGCTCTGCCACTTAGAGGTCCCACCTATGATTCTATCACTTATCCCCTTGACATATTCTATATATATACATGTCTACTTACACCCTAAATTCAGCTTTGGAAGATGGAGGATGAAAAAGGAGAAAAGAGAAGGAAGTAGGCATGGTGGATGCAGGCTAAGCATGTCCTAGCCTGTCCAAGCCATCAACTCACCTCCCATTGATGGGAAACCTGCACACACAAGCTATAGGGCCTCATGGACGAAAATGCAAAGAGAGTTACACCATTGTAGACCATTATTCAGCATTTTAGAGAGAAAATCTCAAGGAAGAAGACATAGTTTTAGAGAGAGAAGTTTGGATTTTTGCATTTTCTTACCCATTTCACTTGTAGTAAGCTGTAAGAATCTTGTGCACTTTAATTTCATTTATTTCAAGGGTATTACAAGTTTAGTCTTATATCTTTGAATCTACCATTGTTATATTTAAGCTTTTCTTCTCAAGCTTTCTAAATGGGTTTTAAATGTACTTATCTTTGTAGTTAATTTTTCTTTACATTAATACAAGTTTTAATCTTCATTTCATTACTATGTCTCTTTCTACATTGTATGTCTTTGCATTTTATATGAGTAGCTATGTTTTATATTGGCTAATCCAAGGGAGATTAACTCTTGAGTACACTAAATCAACTCTCCTCCATTCTCCCTCGTAGTGTAAAGTGTTCGGTTTGACTAGATTGAGTGCGGACGTGGTTGTGAGCTCTTGATACACCGTATACTTTGATTAGCACAAATTATTGCACATTTTGTATGCTTTTTATACTTGTTTTTATTGTGAAATTAGGGAGAAATGTATTTAATCTACCTTTTATTGAAGTTTTGTGTGAATGTAGGTGAAGAGTTGTAAATGGCTTGAGTTAAGCTCCCATTGTAGTGTTTAAAGTCAATGAACATGAGGGGATAACTTAAAGGACGAATTGGAAGGTGATGAAACCAAAAAAAAAGACAAATTGGATGAAAACCTTCTGGAAGGTTTGGCCATAAACCTTCCAGAAGGTTTGCACTTGGTCTGCCTATGCACTGCCAAAACCTTTTAGAAGGTTTTATCTACTAGAATAAACCTTTCGGAAGGTTTGTATCGACCTTCTAGAAGGTTTTGCCTAGAAATGCTAGACAGCCAACAACTCAAGTTGTGCCACTTGGAGGTCCCACCTATGATTCTCTCACTTGTCCCTTGACATTTCTTACACACATACATGTTTGCCCTTGCCTAAGATTGGACTTTGGAGGCCCAAACATTTATGAGGAAGAGAGAGAAGAGGGAAGCCTGGGAAATTGCAGCCTAGGCTTGTCCAAGCCTGTCAAAGCCATCAACTCAACCCCTATTGATGGGAAGCCTATCACACATGCTATAAGACCTCCATGGATGAAAATACAAGGATCACTTGACATTTTTTATAGTTTGTTCAGCATTTTAGAGAGAAAAAGCTCAAGAAGGAAGACATAGTTTTATAGAGAGAAGTTAGGTTTTTGCATTTCCTTTACCCATTTCACTTGTAATCTTTTGTAAAACTCTTGTAAGTTTCATTTTATTGCACTTGTAATTGCTTTTGGGTATGCTAAATCAACTCTTTTTTCATTCCTCCTCATAGAGTAAGATGGTTTGATTTGACTAGGTTAAGTGTGGACGTGGTTGTGAGTTCTTGATACACCGTGGACTTGTCACAGGGTATACTTGAATCCTCACCTCCGTTTTAGTCCCTCGTTTCCTACGAATCAATCAAACGTCTAGGCACCATTGGAAGAATACCTTGAGTTGATTTAACATTTTCATTGGAATGACCTCTTTGGATTAGTGTAAACTCCACACTTTTATCTTTAGATTTGTATATAAGTTATTATATAGCAAGTAATTATTTCTTTTGAAATGTTAATATGGGAAAAATTCGAGTAAATAGTAGCTAAAATTTAGTTTTAGCTTGCAAATAAATGAAATCGTTTATAATAAAAGTTGGTACACTAGGTTTGATGTCCAAAAGTATTTTGTATAAGTTTGGGTTGGCTTTGGAAGGGTTAAAAGTGGATTGGAAATGAAAAATAGGAAAAATGGACAAAAATGCCAAAGGGTACCGGTACACCGAAGACTAGTAGCTATACCATACCGGTACGCGTACTGGTATGCCCGACAGATTCCAGAAATTTTAAGTCGCAATTTGAGTCTGATTCCTTCCACTATAAATACATAAAGACGTCTCATTTAGCCCCATTTCAACATCTCTAACCTTAGGAAATCTTAGAGAAGAAGAAAGGAAGAGAAAAACACAAGATCAAAAGGGGATTTCCACTTTAAGAAGATCAAAACCCTAATTTTTCAAAAACACTAAGGTAGGGTTTCTTCCTATTCTCTTACATTGAGACTAGGACTTATTTATATGTATTCTTTTGACTTTAAATCTTATATATATGCTATGAAATCTTTATTTCTTGGTATCCTTGTAAATACCACCATGTTT